AGAAAACGAATAAAGAAAATATGTGGTCAATTACCATGTTTTTGGTCTCTTTATGGTAGCGTCACTAAAAAAATTATAGAAGATTTATTATTTACTTGTTTTCAGCCAAATTTGCTGGAGTTATTGCCAACATAACAGGAAACATTTTTATTTTTACCTTTTTCTCACAATTTTTTTATCATTCTGAAATAAGTCTTTTAACTAGTCAGTTTTTGTATAACTTTTGCTCTAATTTATGCAAAGGTCGGCAAATTTATGAATATTATTATGGGTAGCTTTCCTGAAAGTTTATTTCATGCCCTTTCATTTGAGATGTTGCTTACCATATAGCTGCTCACATGTGATTAATATGTGGTCAATTTTTAACTATTTTCCCTGTCATAGAGATGAGTTAAATATTTTCCGCAACACCCACAGTTTTGAAAATTTTAGTTTTAGGGCCTTTTTACAAGGACGGAGGGTTACCCTACAAATCGGGTTACCCTGGCAAGCAGGTTACCCTAGCACTCACACATTTCCTCTTTTTTTTTTTCTTAGTCGTTTTCACAAGGCAGCTAGGGTTACCCGGGTAGGCGGGTTACCCTATCTGCGTGCTAGGGTTACCCTGACAGGCGGGTTAACCTTTTCCCTTGTAAACACTCCAGGTAGGATTAGCCCGCCTACCCGGGTTAACTTTCTAACTTTTTCCAGACCCTTTGAGTGTAACCTAGCATCAAGTTGTCCCGGGTTGTAGGGCTACCCTACCCGTGAAATTTTGCTTCTAAACCCGGGCTATCATTTGCCCTCCAGCTAGGGTTAACCCGCTCTCTCTCCATGTAAACAAGCCCTTAGCTGGGGAATATTCAGTCACGTGACGCGTATGATCCCCAAATTAGACCGCAAATCATCCTAGGACCAGAACTGATTCCACCGCAAAAAGTTGGGAATGGCGTGGACTCCAGGAAAAGTCCATGGATCGATGGATATATACATATTTTAATTTTGTTAGGAGAAGAGACGAGCACCTCAGGCAAAAAATGATATCCAACGTCACTAAATTTGGAAAATTTGTGGTGTTTT